TTAAAATATATTATGTTATTATATTAGTATATTATTCAGTGCTCCTATCTTTATATTCTGTATCTAGCTATCTTTGTACATCACAGCATTATTGTGGGCTCCTTGAAGATGGGAATCACATCCAGGTAAACTTCTGTTTTCAATAAACATGTACTGAGTCCCAGGCATGATGCTATATATAGAAGATAGAGAGTTAAATGTCACAGTCACTAGCCTTAGGGAACTCAAGTGTGGAGGAAAAGAAAGGAGATTTCAACAGTATGGTAATTAATTTGATACCTAGAAAATTGTAATAGAAATATAGAGAAAGCCACCTAACACAGATAGGCTTCCCAAAAAAGGCAACAATCTTTACCATAACTAGTACCATACTGGTGCAATTACGAGTATATCCAGTACTGTGCTCCCTACCAGTGGCTCATGGTAGTTGACTGTTAAATTTTTAGGAATTTTGCAAGCTGGATGTTCAACACAGCGATCATTCAAAAATTAAATAAAATTGAGTTGCATTTACATAAATTATTTTGAATAAAGCTAGCAAATACTCAAAACTCATCACTTCCTAATTATTTTATGTTTATTATCTATCCTTTGTATTTGTCTATACTAGCTCTATGATGGAAACAGTAAGTATATAAGGTTGTGCTACTGTATATCTCTCTTCCTAACTCCCTGTTGAGTAATGTCAGATTAGTAACTTGAAATTGGCCACCTGGGAGTATTTACATTACAGAAATCAATAAATGCTATCTCTCAGGTTGATGTTTTCCCAGAAAGTTGGTTGTTAGACATTTACCAGCAGGCCACTAAATGTATTCATCTTAGTTAGTATTGGATAAATTGTTTTGATGATGTGAGGAAGAGGCGGAGAACCCGGGTAACTCTGTGCAGGAGTAAGTTTGTACACTGATCTGCTTTTGGGACCTTTTCCTGTCCCAACCAGCTTTAGTTCTGCTTCCCTCTGTTTCTCGGACACCCACTATGCTTATTACCTTTTCATTCTCTCCCCTGTGATTAGGTAGAAGGTGCATGCACACATCAATCTTCCTGCTCTCAAACTCTGAGCACTACCTCTGTGGTTCATCTTCCCAGCAGCAAAACCACGAACTAGTAAACACTGAACAAACTGATTATTGCATTGGTGTTCAAGATTAACACTTTATAAAAGTGTTATAAGTGAAAAGCATAATGCAGAACTTCTGCATCTAAAGATCACAGACCACTTTCTT